CCTGGACTCCTCTTCTCAGCATGTGCTTTGGGGGGCCTCTGTGGGGTGCGAATGAGGCCAAGGTCAGAGGTTCTATGTGCATGTGACCTATTTAGCTTTGTTCTGCATTGTGGCCACAAGCTGTACTCTTTGTCTCCCCCTCAACCCCCCATGGCCAGCTGACTTACACACACATGCTGTTTATTACAGAGAAAACATGCTGGAGGGAGGGGACAGATTTCCAGAGGTGGAAGGATCCTAAAGAACCGCTAGTTGAGCAGCCCCATTTTATTCATTTAGGAGAAGACTTCAACCCCAAAATTTCTGTCCTTTTCTCCTGTGTAATGTCCTGGACATGATCCAACTCAACACACACATATGCACACACACACGTACACACACGTACACATGCACAGCATCATGTAGAAATAGACATCTAACAATGAGGGGAAAGACTACTGAGCACTACCCTAAAATGCCAGTGGATAGTTAATTTATAATCCCATCCATTTCAACATAAAGGACAAAACTAATATATGAAGAACTCAGAACTCTTCTGCAAAGAACATTGTTTTAAGTGGTCTCATTCAGGTTCTTAAGAAGGGACAAATAATTTTTGATGAAACTATATTTTTTTAGGGGAAGGAAAAACTTGTGGGACTAGGTGGGTTAAGTCAAAATCAAATTACCTGTTATCCTCGCAAACCAATAATCACTTCCATTTTATGGAATGACTATTACCCTAGTTACACAGAGGCTGAGATCCACTGTATTACTTCTTTCCATGAAAATTACTTATGATTCCTTCTTTCTCTTATCTTCTGCATCACTTCAAATTGCTCGCCTCTCTGTCATCTCTCCTGGCCTTCATCCTCATTTTTTCCCACCAGGTTCACCACAGAACCTTTTCCTTGCCTGGACCCATTTGTAGTTTCCCATTACCCACGGCAAAAGTCCTCTAATTCTTTTAACATTGGTATGAACAATTGCTGTTTCTATATCGGTTTTTTAATTTTACTTCATGCCAGAGGATCTGTGAGAGCTCCATGTCATTTAGGAAGGACTAACTACCCAGGATGATCCTAAAGTCGTGTGAAGGTCATGAGCAGCCCAGTGGTACACTTGTTAATGAACCACATGCTGAGGTACTTCAGTATGAACGCTAACATTGCCATCAAGACGTTATAGTCAAGCCAGGGATTCACCTTCCTGTGTGTGTGTGTATGCGTGTGTATCTATAAGAAACATCTCATTGTAAGGAATAAAAGAATGTTTTCACTTTAAGTGTAGTGAATGCCACTATATCTTCTGTATTTTATTGTTTCTACTTATGCATTATTTGGGTAAATTAAGAAAGTTGTTAATTATAAAGAAGGAACTATAAATGGATGAGTCGAAATACCAGCAGTAGCATGGACTTCAAAGACATCCCTTCAGATGTATCACTTAATATCTGTTTGTTTGTTTGTTTGTTTATTTATTTATTTATTTATTTATTTTTAGTACCAGGAATCACACTCATGACTTCGTGCTTGCCAGGTCGGTGCTCTGCCACTGAGCTATATCCCCAGCTTATAACTTCAGACTTTGAACCTCGGTATTCTCCTCTGTAAAGTCACAGCATTCTTTATTCACATTGGAAAATTTCCTGAGAATACAAAATGAAGTAAAGTATGCCAAATAACCTAATATTTTTCTGGGACATGCCAGCTACTCATGGGTGGTTAATGGCATCTTCTTTTATGTGTCCTTATGATTGTAGCTTTATAAAGCAGGTTTTTCCTCATAGTTCATAGAGAGAGCATTTACGAGGGTCATGGGGCAGGGTTTGTGCAGAAAATTTATCTGAATTAGGAGATAGTCTTAGTGAAATTGCATAACTAGTGGAGAGGATTTCAAATACTTTACAACAGGTTGCAAGCATTCTCAAAGGGGGAAAATGGTAAATATTTACAAACCTGATCATTTGCCATTTGAACTGTCCATCTACTTTTCAAAGGTATGAAATATGTGGTTACAGTTATGGTGACAGTTTAAGGTTGTGTCACATTTTGTCACGTATTTGCCTTCACAGCAGTTGTGTGAGTGGATGCATGGGTGATAGAATTAAGTGCTATTGATTTTAAATGCTGGTATTGAAGAAAAGCTTTAAAAGATCGTCTTTCTAGTGCAGCGACTCACTGGGCACCTAGTCCCCTGCCAGCACCTCAACAGACCCTTGCTCATGCTGGGATCCTATTTCCACTTGGGGCAGCCCACCCCATTGAAACAGATAAGGACACTAAAGAAAGCAAGCAGAGTATGGCAAAGACTAGACATAATCATGACTGGCAAAATCTGTAGGGAGAGAGGGAGGTTAATGGTTAGTGTGGGTATAGAAGTGAGGCAGAAGCACAAGCTCTGATTTGGGACCCAGAAGGTGGAGGGTAAAGGGTGAACATCTTCCGTAAGTTTGCTTGGCAGCAGTGCCAGGTCAGTCTCAGAGGTTCCTGCCGGAGTCATGGGTCAGCCCCTGGCCCTTTGCATCTCCACTCAGCTGTAGTTCTGAGCTCTGAAGCTTACACATTTTGTCTGCTGATTCCTTATGAGCTGCTGGCCTCGGTAAGAGGAAAAAGGAGTTTCCGCCAATCACAGCACTTCTGCCCTCAGACCTCTAAGGTCAAGTTAGGGCGTCCGCACAGTTGAATCTTTTTGGATGATGTTTGTGGCTTAGTGTGGATTGTCATGCCATTAAAGAGTCTGCCAAATATAATTGCAAACTCTTAGCTTGATTGGATTGACTTACCTAACCCCAGTAGGTCAGCAGCCCACTTACATGTTTTGTGAGAGGTTTTTTTTTTTTTTTTTTTTAAACACTCTGGTAAATGGGCTGCAGTACAGCCAGCTCTGAGTACACAGCCAGGAGTTCTGAGGACTCTGGTCTCAGCCATGATTCAGTTGCTAAGTTGTTTCTGTATTCCTGGAGTGATTCTACCCTCAATCTGTTTCAAATCCTGCATTCCCCTTCTCTTACATATCCCCTCTCTTACATATAAAATGCAGCTTACCTAGTTAGTAAACTCCTATTTGTCAAGCCTAGCTCAAATGGCACCTTCTCCTTTGTGCATTCACCTAAGTATTATTCTGAGTATTTATTTGAGAGCATACTATGAGCTAGGTGTGAGGGGTGTAGCCATGAACACCTTAGCCTTGTTGTGTTGTATTGAGCAGTTTGCTCACCATTCCTGGCATAGTGACTTGCTCAGTGAATCTGGCTTCTCTGTCCTTCATTCCCTAAGTTAGTGGCCCATGTCCTACAGCTTCCTAAGTCAGACAATGGGAGCATCTGGAGCAGTGGAGTTGCTGTGGTTAGTTTTCCACTAACTGTAGTAACGCCCACAGCTTGTAGAATATAGAACCTCCCACAACCTCCCACAAAATGGAGGGTGCAGTGGAAAATTAGGTACCATGAGCCGCCCTCCCCAGGTTGACAGAGGGACTTTCCTGCTCCTGTGACTGGGTATGCCAAGCAGAGAGCTCGCGCAGTCAGCAGAACAGCACGTCGGGCCCTAGGGAGAGCTTGCACAGACAGGAAGCACATGCGTCTTCCTTGCACCTGTGTGGTCCAGCAGGCATTTCCTGGCCATTGTTCATGGTGGCCAGTGACTATTTTCAGCCTGTGGAGCTGAGCTGGCTGAGCTCCCTGACCTGGCCAGCTTTTGTGTGCTACTCACCCTGAGCCACAGCCAGCCTCCATGGGTACAGAGGCAAAGATGCCTGGATATCACTGAGCTGTGTCCCCTACCCAAGTAAAAGCCAGCAGGGCAGCCTTGTCTGTTTGCTTCTACGTTGACTTTGTCCATTTTTATTCTCTTCCCTTAGTCTTCTTACTGTCAGGAAGATTATACTGAGGTAGGCTGTTATGACATAGCTGCTGAGATGGTGTTTGGGTGTGGAAACCCTCAGCTGAGAAGTAGACTTGTCCTCAAGGTCATTGGGAAGAAATTTTTTTCCAAAAAGTTCCATGTGGAGCTGGACATGGTGGCACACACCTGTAATTGCAGCACACTGGGAGGCTGAGATATGAAGATCATGAGTTTGAGTTCATCATGGGTGGTTTAGCAACTTATCAAGACCCTGTCTCAAAATGAAAAGGGCTGGAGATGTAGCTGAGTGCAATGGCCCTGGTTTAATCCCCAGGACTGGGAAAAATGAAGATTTATGTGGAAAGGAGAATTTTCAAAGTGTTGTGGGCTGGATATTGTATGCTTGGTTGCTGTGTTGTTTTCTCATCAGGAGCCTAAAGATGAAACCTCCGTTTCCAGTGCCGAGTTACCAGCCAGGGAGCTGCCAGCAGCTCCTTCTCTTGACTGCTTTCAGGAATCCCCTTATGGTTGTACATTGGATAGTGTGCTCGTCCCTCCCTTGCAAGGCAAGAGGTGTGTGTATGAGGCAGAAGTGGGGTGTGCAGTAAGATGGAGTTGAACATTAGAAAGATAAAACAGTAGTCACAGCTTTCATACCTGTGTTTATGCTATCCTTGCCTCTTCAGCCTGATCATTTTAGATGAGAGAGGCAAGAGGCTGGTGGGCAGAGTTGAACTTTTTTTTTTTTTTGCTTAAATACTATTCTGATCAGGTGTGGTGGTGTGTGCCTATAATCTCAGGGATCTGGGAAGCTGAGGCAGGAGCACAGCAAGTTTGAAGCCACCTTAGGCAACTTAGTGAGAGCCTATCTCTTAATAAAAAATGAAAGAGGCTGTTATATAACCCAGTTAGTAAAGTACTCTTGGATTCAGGCCCTTGCACTGAAAAACAAGAACTAAGAACTATTACTCAACATTCTTGTTCAAGAGGCAGCAGCTCTTGGTGCAGTCCTTAGTCATGCCACCATGTCCCACTGCCCCACGAGTACTGCGCAGGGTGTCCAGGCACTTGGAGACCACCACCTGTGTTCTTGGGGCATCTGCTTTGAGGAGAGTAGAGGGAACTGCAGCCCCGCAAGGAGGATTGGTCACCTAGTGCTCTCCCTTGTCTCCCTAGTGATGGGTTGCGCCACCACAGTGGTACCAGTGAGTGGACGATGGTGAAGCCAGCGCGCCATGTACAGTGTGGAGGACCTGCTGATCTCTCACGGGTACAGACCACCCCGAGACCGCCCTGGACCTCATGGGGCCAAAGCTGATGGACACACACAAGTGAGAACAAGGCCCAGAGGCAGCCAGGGCCTACAGAATGGGTGTGAGGATGGCGCCGCTACCCCAGCTCCAAGCAGGCAGGCCCCGGGGACAGGCCCTGTGAGTGCACCCAAGGGCCACCGCAGTGTGCCACGGCACCACGCAGAGCAGCACAGGACTTCTGCTTCCGGAGCTTCAGAGGCAGGGTAAGTGTCCCTGTTGTTGACCCAGCAGGTGCTTTTGCCTTGGGACTTTGCCATTGGTTTCTGCTCAAGTAACTCTTCCACTTCCTTTTGTTTGGTTGGGGTGAGGGAGGGAGAGAAGGGTCCAAGAGGAGGTGCTTCTTCCTCTGTGGTGTGTGGTATGTCCCTGCCACACTGATCACAGAGCCAGCACAATAGTCCCTAAGGAACCCACACCAATGTCAGGATGCCCTGCTCCTCTTGAAAACCTGCTCAGTTGCCTCAGGTAGAAATCACTTTGGAATCTGTTAAAAGCTAGTTCATATCTATTCATGCAGTCATGGCATGTTAGCTTTCTTATTAAGAACTGTCAATATTTTGTAAGCTGCAGAACACTGAGAGGGATCTGCTTGCCCTCCATTTGTGAAAAAGAGAACTTCTTTGAGACTATCCTTCTTTGTTAGTCACCTGATTCCCCCCTGCCCTTGCATACACACTGGCCTGCTATAGGGTCCCATCCCCACACAGCTGCCTTTGAGGGTGTTTCCTGATGGCAAAATACAGGAGGGACTGGGCTATCCCAACAGTTTGTGTCAGAGAGCATGAGACCACAGCCCTGAAACTCTTCTCAACAGTTTCAATTTCCAGGGAAAGTTCTCTCTTCTCAGGACTGTGCCTGTCTTTCAAACTGCCTTAGGACCAGGAACTTGGAGAAGAGGAAGCCTTGAGGGTACAGAGCACATTACAAGGGCAGAACTAGAAACTCAGGAACAGGGGTCTCAAATAAACAGAAAGGGCAGTGAGATGAGTCTGATGGGAAAGAATTGGTCTTCCTTGTTGGTTGTCTATTTCCAGGCATAAGTAAGAGGGTTTTGTTTTGTTAGAGCATTCAACACACTGGCTTCTGGGCAGGAGCAAAGGCAAGAATGCCTCTTCCTGACCATGTAGTGAGTGGGCCTATACTACCAAGTCTGAGCTGACACTAAGGGGCAGGTGTTGGAAGGAAATCCAGGGTGGAGAGCATAGGAGCTGCTGCTCTTGCTTTGCCCTTCAGACTCCCGGCATTCTTGTGGGCCATATGTCTGCCATCGATTTAGAAGAGGGTACTCATGGATAAGTTGGCTGGGTTAAGACAGCCTTAATTACTCCCAAACTTATGTTTGATTTTCTCCTGCCTTCTGTTTTCCCTGGTTTTTTGTTTAAGGTGTCTGTTTCTTACAACTTGGATTGCAAGGTTCTGAGTTTGTACCTTTTCTCCTGTTTCTTTTGAGTGTCTTTTTTGGGGAGAGGGGGTACCACGGTTCGAACTCAGCACCTTGGTCTTGTTAGGCATGTGCCACTGAGCTATATCCCTGGCCCCTTCCTGTTTCTTTTGTATTTCCTGGATAACTTGTTAGTTTAGTGCACACAGTGGCTACTTGATATGTGCTAATAGGTCAACTTGTCCTTCTGATATTGTAACAGACACTGAAAAACAAAAGACTCTGTTGTGGGACACTTACACATATACTATGTAGGGTCCTCCTTATTTTTGAGCCTGATTGGAATGGGCTTTCATTAGGACCCCCTTAAGACTTCCAGAAATGCTTTAGAAAGTGGCAAGAATGATGGGATAAGTGTGTTCAAAGCAAGATGGAGTATACTGAAGGGAGATTAATGGCTATGTGTCACAGCCACCCATCTCACAGAACCCAGGAAACAGAGAGGAGGGAAAAAACCAGTGAGGGCTGCATCCTTTGGAGACACCCCCCATGACGTGGTCCTCCAGCAGGCCCCACCTCCTAGCAGCCACTCAGCTGTGGACTCCTCAGTGATCTGCTGTTGGGGTCAGCATGCTCCTGATCTAGTCACCTCTCTAGCCACCCCCATGCTGCTGCAGTGAGGACTGTTTCATTCTGTACATGAGTCCTTGGGAGGATACGTCATGTTTAAATTGTAACAGTTTCCTTCTACAGTAGAAAGGTAAAGAGCATATGTATGATTGAAATATATACTGAACATTTGAATTTTAAACGTTTATTACAATAAAAGACACATGGCCATTAATCTCCCTTCACTATACTCCATCTTGCTTTGAACACACTTATCCCATCATTCTTGCCACTTTCTAAAGCATTTCTGGAAGTCTTCTTTCATTAGTGTCTTTCCAAGGTGTAATAAAGGATATGGTGAATGCGCCTGCCACATACTATTTAATAGAAAGGTAGGCTTATAAAAATATTATGGTGTCCTCATCCACCTTATTCAGTCAGTGCAGCATCATGTGGCTTCTAGCTTTCCCCTAGAGTTAAAATGTACATGAAAAATAGAAGTTTTATGTAAGTTAAAGACATCAAGGCAGCTGTACAACTAAAGATATTAATAAATGAGGACCCCCAGAATTGCTTCAGAAATTGGCAAGAATGATAGGATGTGTACTGGGGGGAGTATTTCTGTTATTAATGACAATGTGTCTTTTATTATAACAAAAATCTTTAAAAATTAATGTAGTTTTCAGTCATAGCTCATAAATATTTGCAAAACTCCATGCCGGTGCCCAAATCTTTATTCCAGGCCTTCTTGAGTTGACCTGAAAAGTCATTTTTTTCTTTACTAGCCAGTAGGTACTTAATAGTAGGAGACCAACAGGAAGCTAGGCATAAAAGAAAATTATTTTTCTCCATCAGAAAAATATTTTGGAAGGAAACAAAAGGATACCAATATTTACAGCTTTAAAAATATAAAAAGACAAACCCACCAGACCATGGCTTATGTAAATTCTGAATCTGAATGACCAAGTGGTATGCTGCCAGCTCCCAGCCTTTGGTCCTTTGACAAGAGCAGCTGCAGTCCTGCTGCCTGTCCTGTCCAGCCTAGTGTCCTCTACTGGGCTGGTTTCCAGGGCTGGAGGGCATGTGGGGCCCAGGATGGCCCTGCCCAGTTCCACGCCATCATCGGCTCACTGGGGAGAGTCATGAAAGTCCTCTACTACCACTGCTCAGGCTGAAGTCCACGTCTCAGGCTCATCCTCGGCACCCCACTAGTGTTCTGGGAAGGGCAGAAGTCAGGTTGGCTTGTTTTATTCTGGCAGGTGGTAGAGACATCAGCAGGTAAGTGATGGTGTTTCAATGCTAGGGGTTGAAGCCAGGGCCTTGTGTATGCCAGGTGCACGCTGTGCCAGATCCAAGATGAGAAGAGAGTGACAGTTACTCTGCGAAGGGAGGCGAGGGAATGTGTAAACTTGTTAAAAACCTCTTACACTTGTGGTGCAGATAAGACCAAGAATCAGTTTTCATTTGTACATAGATGATCCAAATTACTGATTACAGAGAACTTACTTTCAATAGCTACACAATATGTGGGACTGTCCTTATGGCTGTACAGCACAGAAAAGGAGCTCTGATCACCAACAGTGTGAGCCCTACACACACACAGGGTTGTGCTGGCTACACTGTCTGTGTCTTGAGCCAGTCTCTAGCAGGCCTCCTTCAAGCTCACCTGCACCATCCTTTCCTATGACCTGTCTTGTTGCCCATGTGTGATCACCTGGGTCCTCTTGTGTTCCCTGCCCTTTCCACCCCATCTCCTCTTGGAAGCCCCACTTATCCATTCATCTCCTGCAATTCCATACTTGGAAATTACTCTGTCCCATGAATTCTTCCAGCAATTTCTGTTGGCCTCACAGATCATCTATTTTCTGATGGCCAATACCATATCCTACTCATCTCTGATGTGGTTAATTCCTGTTTTAAAATTTAGCATTTAATTAACATCCATTCCTTAAATTCAGTAGGCTCACAGTCTAGGCATTGTGTAAGTGCTGAGTACTGAGAGCAGCAGGCTCAAGGGCAGGAGGTGGAGAAGGTATGCGGTGATGCTGAGAGGCTAGTGGGGAAGGTTGAATCTGGGAGAGAAGCATTAGTTTCCTGGCTGGACAGATGAGGCAGCAGTATTGATGGCTTTACATGTGTTCCAGCACATGGGGTACACAGGTAACACAGAGAAGGGAATGGCCACAGCCTGAGAAGGACTTCTGCTGGCTGAGCATTTCCTAAAAGGGAAGTTTCCTTCCTGTGTAACCTCTCTGAGACCCACCAGGTGAAAAGGCTGGGGTTGTCATAGGGGCAGTGGGAGTCCCATCTACCATCAGTAGGCAGCAAAGGAATGGTAGGCATCAGAGTGCCCAGGCTGGTCTGCCAGCTGTCTCTCTATCTTCTGTGGGGCTGAGGACAGCCACTTAGTCTGTGTCCCTCCTTGTGACATGTCTCAAATCTCTGTTATTTCCCACACAGTATCTTTTTCTAGTAGCTTAGACTCAGAGTAATTTTACCTGTGGCTTAAATGCCTTGTTCTGTGTGTGGACTTAGCATCAGAGCCCACTGCTGACTATTGCTGGTGTCTTAGTTTCAATCTTGACATAAAAAGTCAGTGGTTTTTGGACAGCCAGTGGGGATGTCTGCTTGGTGTAGGTGTCCCTTCCTCTAGCTGGTGGAGAAGGACTGGGGCTGATGATGACTAGATGTGGATGCTGGAGTTCTGGCCACATCAGAGGTTGTGGCTGAGGACAAGTTCCAAGCCAGGGGCATTAAGTCACTTAACTTCATGGAAAGTGGATCTTGATGCAGACTCACTCCTGAGAGTCAAGAAGGTCACTTGATGATGTAGAAGCAACTCACAGCCATGTTCACAGCTTGCCAGCAAACATACATGTGCACACACATATACAGACGTCACAGGGAAGCTGACCAGTGGTAAGCTGTGTGTTCTCTGTGCGTAGAGGAAATGGCACACCTTGGATGCAGGTAGCCATCTCTGAGTGATAGTGAGCTATCATTAAAATATATATGTACAAGACCATTGTCAGGGACTCAGGTTTCCTTAGTGTGTTTCCTATCAAATGCCAGGATTGGAGGAAGCTGTGTAATAGCTTAGCATCTCAGAGGTTTGAATCTGAAAGTCACACTACAGCAGGCTCTTTGCCGTGCCCCAGGAACTCTGGTAAAAAAAGGTTTTGTTAGTTAACCATGAGGATAACTTGTAATTAT